TTTGGCCCGTCTATCACCAACATAGGCCAATCAGCTAACCAGTATTTTCGCCCCTTCCCAAAATTACTGCAACGGAAGGTTTCCAGATAGATATGCGGAACAAATCCATCTGGCGGAGTCAGGTTACAATACTATCACCTTGACAAAGATTTACACTAAAGCCAACTGAAGATGCTTTGGTTCCCCAAAGAGACTAAAACTAAAAAAGAACATTGAATAAAGCAAACACTGTGATGAAAACATCTTACCTAAAGAAATATTTTACATAAAATTAAAAAAAAAAAAAATACACCTCTTGCATCTCCTTATTGAAAATTGAATAACTGAAGAAAAGCGATAAAACATATAACTTGTTAAGAAACCTATTGGGTAATGGGACGGACAGTTTCATATCCATTTCAGTTGCCCTGGTTAGGAAAAGTATTCCTCCTCCCTGATGGCAGGAGACAAAACTTTGAGAGGAGCAGATGATTAATGGCTGCCAGCTTGTCCTTTACCTTATTTTCTCTTTTTTCAACATAAAAAATATACATCTTAACAAGCACAGTTTTCTTAAAAAAATAAAAAATAAAAAAATAAAAATGTTAAGGCAGCATAAGTTAAATGAAAGTTAAAATTAATACTTTTACATGGATTTTAAAGACAGCTGCTGATAGGGATATTCAAGATGGCTAACAAAAAATAACACACTATAAACCTTATTGATAAATATGGATTAGTCTTTCGTTTTACCTATTAAAAATAAGGATACAGCAAAAACAAATCGTAAACCTAACCCTTTTAAACAAAACCTTGAATCTTGAAATTGATGTCATACATATAAAAATCAATCCAAATCCAACCCAATCCAATGAATTCCATATTCCTCTGCCAATATCAGAGTCCGCTGAAATAAGAGAAAAATCTATAGGACATATTTTCTATTGATACTGATCAGGTGTCTGTCATGATATATATAGATATTTTTTATTGTGCAAACCTAGCTACAAACATGAATAAAAGGCATCATTTTGAAATAAATACAATCAAAGTGATGCTCAGTAAATCTTTAAAATTTGTTTCAATCATTATGAATTAGATAGGATGTAAGGTAAAGTTAAGCAAATTAACTATATCTAAAGTTGCTAAGTTACACACCTGGAAGATATAGATTAAAAATTGCTTTTTGCCAAGAAGTTTGACCCTAGTGGGATGAGACAGGCATTTAAATTAGTAAATTCCTATAAAGAAATAACAATTCTGAAAATATTTTTTGTATAAAAGTATATTCAAAATCTTTTTTATTAACAACTAAAACTTTGAAAATGAATGTCTTCATTGATGAGGCCCAAATCTTTGAGGTTGGAAGCCCTCCTTGCCATCAATCTTCAGCTTCCTACACAGGCTCTATCAGATTGGATTTGGGACTCTGCCTGCAGTGCTCACATTTATTAATACTTGGATTTAGGAAAAAAAAAAAATAGTGGGAAATCTAACATACATTTTGAAACATAAGAACAAAGATATTATGAATAATATTACACACTCATTTTCTTCCGCAATGTCAAAAGCTAGCATGATTCAGTGTGGTGCTGTTGAGAGCAGATAATGAAAATCCAAATAACAGTATCTCCTGTCAGTGGCCCACTTACTTGCTCACAATAGACCTTGTTTCCCTGGAGATCAGTGGTTGGAGCCTGAAGAAGACGCCAGTCTCTGCCCTTGTTGTATGTGATATAAGTTTTTACTTGGTTCTCAACAACTTTGTTTGACAGGAACACTCCTTTAATCCCAGCAACCTGCATGTATGAGAGGCATGAGGCAGAATGGAGAAAAATAACACAAAGAAATGTATGAAAAAAATAAATATTCAAACTTAAGTAAAGCTAAGGGCCTCGTTTTGCAAGAGAGAGAGATATTTGAGAGCGATATTTTTTTTTTTTTTGACATGGAGCACTATTTTAGACCATCTGTATGGCTGTGTAAAATCCAAACAACATATGGCAGAGCCTTGGGATGTCTTCTTCTTTGTGCTTGTGTGCAGTGATGCAGACTTAATGTACAACAGACATCAATTGAGCTCACATTTCCTTTAGTGTTTGCCAGATCTTTGTTACCCCGCACCAAAAGAAAGGGGGGAAAAAAATCCTAATCACAACTGTGTGGCACGGTCATCTCTCCAACTGGGACATATGTGAGGTGTGTTTACAACAACATGATACTTTCACTGCTGGGTGAAGATGAGGGAAATGTGCAATGATGCTTTCATGTGGAAGTTCCAAGAAGATCTGTCAACACAGGTCATAGTTTAAAGCTGATATTAAAGACTAATTCATTCAGATCCTGATCAAAGTTTAAAAGCAGTTAGTAAATTTGTTGAGGGGACATTCTAATTCACTTTAAAACCCAACTTGTTTAATTCTACCTGCCAATAAAACAAAGTTTTATGCAAACCATATGTTCAGAAAAAATATGCCATTTTCAAGAGTCCACTGGGTGGTTATTTACATTATAATAAATCACTACATGTAAAGAATAGGCAAGAGGTGGTTCACTAATGATGTATAAAATATCCCCCTCTCACAGTAACTATGAAGAAGACAATTTACATTCTAAAAATCAATCAGTTGCCTAGGAATCTCTTAGAAACTTTAATAATTCAGCTCTTTGCAGAAGCTGACTCTTCTATAAGACAGGTAGTCTGATCAGAACAGTTTAAGCTATTTAATTTTAAGTACATTTTCCACAGAGGAGATAATTGGTTTTGCACTGCCTCCTAAGTCAGATTTTTGTATGAATAATCATTTGGTGTTGACCTCTCTATGGCTAGCTGGTAACTTCGGCTTCCAGGATCAACTTATTTGTTTTTTATACAAAATGTTAATTAAATGAATATACTGTAGGTAATATATTGCTGTGCCTATTCAGTTGAACCGCACTTAAAACATTCTGTACAATTTGATGAAGTGTTTCACCATGAATAGAACCTACTAGCATAACCAGTCATGGAACCTCAAAAACAATACTTTAATTAAATATGGAAGCTCAATAACAATGATACAGTCACTTGCAATATCCAATAACGGCAATGGGAGAAAAACAAACTGATGCTGTAGACTGGTTAAAAACATCATCTGTTCCGTTAAATAGAGACAATCAGAGCAGATGTGGAAAAACAAAACAAAAAGGAAGATCTGCTTTTTGATGCATAAAATTGCTTTTAGAACTTCAAGTTAAATTTCCATTGTGTTTTCAGCTTGCATTCTCACTTAATCTTATCATTAGAAACAATAAACAAATCACTGTCTATCAAATATATATATAATGATACCTCAAAACTTCTTGGCAACATAAGAACATAAACACAGGCTTTTGCAAAGAGTATTACATAAAGAAAGTCTTTTTAAATAAAAATCTCTGACCTTGAATATTCCATTGTAGCTTGACTTTAATAAAATTGTAATGCTGGGAAGTTATTTGGTATTTTTCACACACACAAATGCACATCCACCTTCAAAAACACACACAAGCAGGAGCTGTTGTTCTTGCTGTAATACTGTAGGACAAGAGGTGGGGTGGACTAGACAGGTCATTGATCCGTCACAATATAGAAGAACACAGGAACAAAAAAAAGAAAAACATGCAAAAACATACACTTATTCCTAAGAGGAATTTAGAGAACAATTTATCTAATTGACATGCTTTTGCACTGTGGGAAGAAGCTGGAGAACCTGGAGAGAACTCAAGCTTTTAGGGGGAGGAAGTGCAAACTCCATGCAGAAAAACTTAGGCATTCTTGCTGAGAGGCAAGAGTTCTACCAACAGCTTTTGCTTATATACCTCCCTGCCCTTAAGCCCTGATGTTGCTTCTCTGCATCAATTAGACACCCCACAATCCTGTGCTGCAGCACTGTCTTAAATGTCCAAGAATTGGCAGAATAATGGTCTCTGTGTACACTCTGTGTACACTGACTTTACACTAAAAATTATTTTAAAGTTTTCAAATTAAAATCTGTGAAATAAAACCCCACAGTCAAAAAACAGGAGCACCCTCACAGCACTGTGGCTGCTTACCTCATAGAGATCAATCATGACATTGTCCTCTGGACCACCGGTGCTCACAACATCCTCCAGCATTAGTGTGAAGAACAGCCCTCTGTAGTCAGACATGTAGAGGTTGTACGAATCATTCTGGTGCCAGTCCTGAATAGCTGCCAGCACCTGGTTTTCGTCCGTGCTGATTATCTGCAGGTCCTAAATATAAGGACTTAATGAGCGAATGTTTTTGCTCTTTTTTTAATGGGTAACACTATTTTTATACAACTGAAAAGACAGAAAAATGTGAATCTGCATAGCAATGTGCATGTATTGGTCACACAGGGGGAGCAAAAATGTGTTAGTTCTGTAATCATTCATCAGGATTCTGGTGCCATTAGGGTTATGCACTAAAAAATGAACACTGGGTAAAACATTTTATTTTACTGAAATTTATATTAGGTTTAAGTTAGGCATTATTTCTCCTTCTATAGAAAATTTTCATAATTCATATCACTGAATGGATGGTCTGGCCATTTGTGTATTTTGTAAATCATAGCACCTTTTAAATTTATCTTTAGTTTTATGTTGTAGACAGAATATATTTAAATTAGTTTGAAACCAAGATCTATCATTTTTGTTTTTTTTAATTGTTGTGATCAATTTCATAAATTTTAGACCCGCCAATTAATTTAGAAGATTAGGAACACACGTCAGGAACAGGGAAGATGTTTTTTTTTTGGTTGCTGTTCAAATGTTTGGTTTAAGGACAGGGGGTCCTTGTAAATATCTTGTAAAAAGATTTTTTGACCACTTTTGATAATTTTTTGAAGGCTGTAACAGCAGATTAAGTTAACTTTCGTTTTTCTTTTTAAATTGTAAGATATTTTTAGTTATATTCTGTCTTGTTTTTTTTTTGTTTTTTTTTTAGGAGCACCACCTGTTGCCACCCACATCACTTTTATAAATCTACCAAAACAACTATGAAGGCACTGAGGCTGTGTAATTATTTAGACCCTAAGTCTCAAGTAAATGACCCACACTGCTCTGTTTATGTTACTTGGTACATATAGGGCCGGTTGGCGTAAGCAAAACAGGATAATTCCTTTAGGGTTCAACATTATACTGCATTATTCCTGTTAACTGTAACTTAACATCTGTTGATACACATACTAGTGAAAATGTGATTGTAAATCTAGTCATGTTAGTGGATAGCTAAATACATTTCCAGAAAATGTTCATGCAAATAATTGTAGGAAATGTTATACCAATCAAAACACAGCTATGATCTTACCTTAGGGACCGTGTATTTAGGAAGCTTCATTGGGTAAAATGCTTTTCTTTTATATGACACATAATGGACAGCCTGGCCACTGACTGATACCTTCAAGAGAAACACAGCCAAAATGTTTTAGGTAGTAAAGATAAACATTGCATTACAGTAATCGCTGAAAGCTTATCTATAAAATAAGATTAATCCCACCATAAAAACCCAGCATTATCCTCTAATTGTGATGTTGTAAGTTGCAGTAAAGTGCAGTTGTAGCAATAAAAAGCAGTGGTTTATTTTTGTGCCTTCCCTTGCCAGCATAATGGTTCCTTTTAGTTAATGAAAAACAAGTCTGTACATTAAGATGCAGCTGAACGCACTGATTTCACAGCATTTAATTGTCTTTTAATGAAGCCAGACCTTGCAGTAAAAACCCACCTGGATGAAAACGTACTCATCCTGCACCACCAGGGAGTTTGGGATTATAAATCCTGGGAAAGGCTTGCCCTTGTTTCCATCGGAGCAGTTCTGAAGTTTGCAAGTTATGTACTGTGACCCTGTTGATAAGCAAGAAAATATAGCCAAAAATGCAATAATGCAGGAACAACTCCCTATATTCTAAAATAAATGTTTTGCGTCATTTATAGCCATGGCACTAAGTGACACAAAAAGCATAGGTGTCATATTTCTTAAATGAGACAGCATTGTCCATATCCATATGAACGATAATGGACATCATCTTGTGTTCTATGTGAAAAAAGACGCCTTTTCAGATCTTAAATCATACAATAATTCAGCTGTGTGGTTGAAAAGCCCCTCAATCTCCAAAATAAAATCAAGAGCAATGCAAACAGCCAATTAGCAGCAAAGTTATTGTGTGAGTTTAGCTTTAGAAAGAAAGGCCACATTTTAAGAAAACCTCTACTCCCTTTGTAGGCTGCTATAAAAGCTAGCTCACTGATGCATCACACGTCTTACTGTGCTCTAAACTCCAGTCTATCTCCCACTGATCCATTTATATGTAATCCCTACTTATTTTCCCTCACTATCATTTACCTTTTATCCACCTCATCTGCTTCATCCACTTTAACAATTTTTTCATCCCTCTCATCTCACTTCTCGCTCTTCCAAATAATTTCCTTGCCTTCTGTTTCACAGTGTCCCTCTTTACTTCCTTATTATTTTTATGTACCCATTTAATCCCACCTATTTAAAACTTTTTACAACAACTATTGACAGAACTTAATTTTTTGCCATTTAAGACAACCATACTCTCAGCTAAAGTTTTTAGAACCAAATAGACTAAATTAATTCTCCAGTCAGATTAACTCAATCAGTCAAACCTGTTATTTCAATGTTTTACAAAATTGCAAGTGAACTGATTATATTCTCATGTCTTATTCCCAATTCCCATTCCATTTAATATTTCTAACAAAGGCCATTCATGCTCTTGACGCTCCAACTCAAGGAGTAATACGTTAGCTCAGTCATTTCTAACTCAGACCAAACCCTTACTACCAGCATTTTTTTTTCTGCCAATAATCATGACACTCCCCCTGGTGCAGCTGGACCTTCTGAACCATCTATTCCATCATCCCCTCTCCTCTTTGATTAAACCAGTGAATTGTTTTTTGGGCTTCGCTCCTGAAATTACTTCAGGTGAGATTTCTGCTGTTTCTGACTCACGTCCAACTGCGACAGTGATCTCAAGGTGAATCATCCCTTGGTCTTTGTCCAAACCCAGCCTGGACCTAAAACATTGAAAAAGACAGACAGAGTCATTTGATTTATTATTATAAATTAATATGATGTGAAAGCACTGTGTTTTAATAGTATTCCAGCAGACTAATCCCATTTTATAATACTTTTCATAGCATTATTTTAATGTCACTACAAAAACTGGTGCTGCTAAAGGACATTTGTTCCTGGTTTACTTATTGTTTATGAAATAAAAAAGAAATAATGAAAGTGTGTTGTTAATTTGTATTCAGGCCCCTTAATGGCTATTTTGTAGAACAAACATTTGCTTTAATTGCACCTTATAGTATTTTGGGGTATGTCTCTGTCTGCTTCCTACATCTAGAGGCTTAAGGCTTATTCTACTTTGTAAAATACTCCAGGTTTATCAGACTGGACGGAGATTTTTGAAAGTCCTGGTACACATATGAAACTGTTTTTGTTTTTATAATTCCCAACATCAGGTTAATAGGTAAATATACTAACATCTCAGCCCATATATTGTACCTCTGTAGGCTTAGGTGTATAGTCACATCAGGAAGACATACCCCTGTTTTAGTCTCAATGCTAGCAGCCTCTAACAGGTTTTCTTCTTTTGTTTTTAGATTTATCCATCATCTCATTAATTCTGACCAGCTTCTCTGTTCTTGCTCAAGACAGCATCCAAAAAGCATGAAGCAGCCACCGCCACGTGTCGCTATGGGGATGATGTGTTAAACTCAAATCCTTTAGGGTTGTGTCCTGTAACTTTTGTGCCGCTTCCCTACGCACTTGAACTAAATAACAATACTCGTTCTCAATCAGCAGCAAAGCTCTACAGAGCTCTGCTACTAAGCTAATATTAGAACTAGTTGCATTGAAGCAGGGATGCATCTAAAAGATGCAGGACACCAGTCCTTAAGGACAGGAGTTAGAGACCACTGGTTTGCTGTTATCTGGAGTGTTAGTTGTGAATTTTATTCAGGGGTATCAAAGTAAATGGAGATGAAAACAAACATGGCAACAGCCTTCAGATGTTTCATTGTAAAAGTAATTACTGTTATCCTCAACTTGACAACTAGGTAGTAAATCTTGGTGTACCAGATAAACAGACTAAATAAATGGAAAGTTGTGCTTGTAAATTGAAAATGTTGTACAGGCTTCCATAGTTTTTCACAATGCTGTTTTATCATTATTAATATTATTAAAGTTATCAAACTTAACATAACAGTAATATTAAATTACCAGTAGCTGCTTAGAATGAGTTCTATTGATAACCCAGAGCAGAAGCAGCATGTGTCTGGTTTTCTGGACAAACAAAAGAGCCTCATGAAATGGGGCTACGGCCCATCTACATATTTTAATGGGGCGAGGCTGTTGTCAAATTAGCTACAAGTTAAACAAATAATATCAGAGTAAATTGTGAATTACTGCCTGATGTCAGCAGTGTAAGCACCAACAGTTTATGGCAGGCAAGGGCTGCCATCTGCAGTGGATCACATAACAGCATGGACTCCCTTGTCAGAAGCAACTGTAGGGTGGACCAGAATACTGATGTGTGTATTTATTTATAATTTAATTAAGTCGCCCAGAAGAGGCAGTTTACATTAAACTGTAAACACTCTTAATTCTCAAAAGGACAAATGTGCAATTATTAAATACACATTATCAAATCAGTAGTCTCCTCGAAAAGTGAGTTTGTCTGTAGATGTAATCTCAACCAGCATAAGAGAAATATGCAGGATAAAATACAGTAAGAGACTGAAATTCTCCTGTCTTTCAAGTACCTAATTTATCCAGTGGAAGTTGTGATCATCAGCTTGTAATAACCTCCTCTGTGCAGAATGTCTATTTTATAACTGAAATTGTGAAAATGTCAGCAGGGCAAAACACTTCATCATCTTTGTTTTTGTTGTAAGAAACTCGTAAAATGGTGAAGCAGGGTGGAAATTATGACAAAACAAAGATTCTTTTCATGGTTATGAATTACAGAAGACAGCGGCGCTCTTTACTGTTCCCTTAGGACCTATAATACAACAGGCTGATGTAAAGACAGTGACTTGAAGGACATTTAACCTGCACTGCTCTTTTTTTTGTGAGATTTACTTAGCCATTTCATTCCCCTTGAACTACAGAGTCTTTGCTGCAGCCGTTAAGCACCGAGCAGCGGAAGTGACCACTTGTTGTATTAATAGCAACTGTTGTGACAGAAGATGGGTTTCTCTTATATTCCATACTGTGTCTGAACTATAATATAAAAGGCTCCTATCCTGCTTCCCTCAGCACTTTGTAATTGCCTCACAGCTCCATCTCTTTTAATGGACTTTCTGTCAAATACTTCATCCAATTCTATCAGTGAACAGGAGCCTGCACTCTTAAATAAAGCCCCACAATGCTAAAGCATTCTCCAATAAGTAACACCACTAGTGTCTTGTAACAAGTGTGTGCCAGTGTTTCAGCATGTTTTAGTAGCAGGGTACTTGTTGTTCGTGTTTGATTATTGGATGAGGTAGTAACAATAATTTTTGTTTCTTATGTGTGTTTGAATTATCTCATTTAATTGAGGTCATAATAAATTGTATAGATGATGAGAGATGTGTTTTGATATGGGAGCATGACTTCCCATTCAGGATACCCTGAGCTGCACCCAGTCAGGGGGCAGCACAAGCAACAAGTGGATAGACAGTGCAAGTATTTAGTGAATAAATTGCCTTGTGTTTTTTTCTTTTTTTTGCTCTCACACAGATTTCTGTATTAGGCCCCATTTTGCACACATACAATTTTCCATTTGCACACAAAAGTAAGGTAAAAGAAAAATAATTGGACCCCCTTTGTTTTTTTTGTTTTTTTGTTTGTTTGTTTTTCTGGGGTGTTATTTTATTTTACAGGTAATGTACCTTTGGAGTTAAAAATTTAAGAAAACCATGCTGGTATATTACTTTTGCTATGACTGCAGTTTAGGATCCTACTTAAACATTACTGTTTAGTTTGTCTGCTTTATGTTCTTGCCTTGTTTAAGCAATTGTGATTATTAGTCTTACTACTATAATTTTTTTTAAATATGTGCTGTTGTATGTGTTTATTTGGCTCTTGATTACTTAGTTGTGTCTAGACAAGGAGTTTCCCTTTTATTTTATTTTATTCTATTCTATTCCATAATATTCAAGGATTCAGCTCAGTTGTTTTCCTCAATCTAAGGTCACTTCTAGTTGTTTGCTTTGTTTTGCATCTCAGACACTGAAAACTCATCAGTTGGATTTCCTTGAGTTGAGAGCCAAACTTCATTTTTTAAATACTTAGATATTTGTCTTTAAAATATGTGAAACAGAGCATAGTAAAAAATCTGTATAACCAGTAACAATAAACCCCACTAATAAGTCTGCCAAATATTTTAGGCCGCTCTTACTGTAAGCATAGCATTAAAATCTTCAGAAATTACTTTTAAAAACCTGCAGCTGCATCACCAGTCACAATTTAGAACAACATACTTTTATAGAGAAGTCCGCTCATGAAATATTCATCTTTATGAGAAAACATAAATAATAAAATAATGACACCTAAATTATTTATTAGTAAATTTTAATTCCCATTGCTTTTGTATGAAAGTAAACAAGTTAATAGGGTGAAAGATGTATTTATATAACTAAATAAGGCTAATTTAAGACTTTATTTGGCTGAAAACATGTTGACCATATTGTTTTCCTGCAACTAAAATTGGCAAGGAATGCTAGAAATACTAACTATTTCAATGACAGTTTCCAAAAGAAAAACTGCTTTGTTTTACATTTAGGCGACAACAGATTAACTCACCAATAGAATCTGTTGGGAACAACGTTGTTGTGAACAAGCTGCCATTTCCTTCCAAACTCAACAGAGACGTAGAGCTGAAAAAAAAAATCAGAGAGCGTTAGACAATGAAATGACATTGGAATACAGTATCAGAACATCTGAATTGGATTTATGCCAAAATGCATTAAGATTAAAATTATGTGTTTTTTGAACAGAAGAAAAACTTTTAGTTCCAGTAAAAGTTAAGTTATTGTTCAATGCCAGGCTTTCAGAGGAAAAGCTAAAAAGATAATAGAGATTATTTATTCTTACTGCTAGATACAAGACTTGTTCACATTGCTTGTGAGCGAACTACAATCTAAAAGACTCTTCAGAATCTCTCAGTTAACTGACATTGCAGTTTGTTTTCACATAACAACCTTATTGGTGCTCAAGAACATTAAAGATCTGTCATCTTGCCTCAGTGATTGAGCAGCACGCATCGTGAGCTCTCAGCTTTAGAGGGATCAGGCGCTTCATTCCTACCCACCTCAGAACTCGCAACTTTGAGACAACATGACAGACGATCAATAAATATGAAATGAAACCGAGCTGACGTTCATTTAGTTCCTTTTTGGCAGGAAGAAGAGAAAGAAAACAATAAAATACAGCTTTACAAAGACATAAAGAATAGCCTGAAGGCAAACTTCTCCTAAGTGTCTTCATTTTGACCCACTGATCACTCTCTGCAAGGCTTTTCATCTTCCCTACTTCGCCATTTATCTCATTTCTCAGACCTTGTCTGTTCCTCTCCCTGACAATCAAGTAGTTCTGTGATAGCAAGCTGAGGAGGACAGAGTTTGATGTCCCTGCTGCTGAGTGGAGCAGACAGCAGGGGTTCTTTCACACAATAATGGAGGCTGTGTGCAATGGAAGATATGTGTGTGGTTTCAGGATTTCTTTTTTCAGAGATGTTTTACTTGTTAACTTTCTCTCATGCTGTCCAGAACATCAAAGACCTTATGACTTGTTTTAGGATGGAGTTAGTCTGCTGTTTTTGCAACTGCAGCTTTGTTCTAGGAGCTGACAGAGTACCTTGCAAACAAATCCATATTCTTTTAAATCCTGCAATACAATAAAAATGTATATTACTGGTGTAATTGTATGTGAAAGACCAGTTCATATTAGTGTATAATTGTTAAGTGGCACCTTTTTTGAGCATCCATGACATTATTTGATCATTAGCATCTTGTGCACTGTTGTCTACTCCCAGTCTAATTACTTACTGACTCCATCTAAGTGGCATTTTTCTTCCCTTTAACAAGGATGTATTATTTTGTGTATGTCTGTCACATATGATCCCAATAAATGACAAAAAAATAATTCCATTTTTTTCCCTTTTGCTTCTAATGTAAAGTGCAGATAAGTTCCCTGAGTTTAAATATGTTGTTTTTTTCTGTCACCTTGTAGTTACCATGTTGAAATAGAGAACTAAAACGTGGCTATATCCCTAAGAGTAATACATAAGCGGCCCAATCTCTTCAGTATTCCCCTGTGTGTTTTTCACAAGGATGTTTTTCTTACACATTTTCAGATTCGGTTCTGGTTCATTCATGCCAAATGTTATTAGACACCTACACATTACCTTTTGGTCATGGCTGTAAGCCAGGATCCAGTCCTCTTGCTCTGGGTGGAATAGCAGGCTGAGGATATCAAAGCCTAAGCTGTATTTCTGATAGGACGCCCCCTCGTCAAGGCTAATGAGCAGACTGCTCTCAACCTCTGGGTCAGTTAGTAACATGATCTGAGACAGGAAAGAAGTTGGGTAATTCAGCAGCCCATTATACAACATTTTTTCCACAGGGAATATGTGTCCCTGTTTATTCTACTGCTTAGATAGATGCATAGAGCCTGGTCGTGTATTAACACTGTGATGTGCAAAAGGGACTGCTTGTAAAGGCATTTGGTTTATTCAGGATTTTGCTGTAGCACACTGTAAAACACATAGTAACTCACCTTTCTTTTGTTGTTTGGACTCACATACAGGTAGCTCAATATGCTCTTGGTCCCGACTTTCTCATTAAGTTTTTCATACGTGGTCCCATAATCAGTTGACCTAAAATTGAATTACAGGTCAAAGTAAATAGGGTTTGAGTGGTAGCTAGGCGAGAACGGCACTTCTAATAGTTATGATGCTGATGGGATCATTAGTTCTTTAGGGAAGCAGAAAATTACAACAACAAACATCCTGAGGGCAATTTGCTGAACGAAGCAGGACTTTGTTTACTTCTCAGCATGAACTAGAATATCCTATGTGTCATGCATGGGGAAAAAGCTGATATTAAGGTATTATTGCAATAAATTTTGCTTTGTAAATCACTTCCAGAATCAAAGAGCAAATTTACTTACAAGCAAAATATGAATGTTTTTATTTATGTAATGTTAAACCTATAAATCATTTATTGCAGGGGATTTTCTTCTGAGACAAGCTGCATATATTCTGTAGGCTATCTTACAGGATTATTCTCTATGATTTGTACATATAATATTTTTGTTTGTTAAGCATTTAATAAATGCAGCAATTACTTCCTAATGCTGGTATGTAAATATAGTCCCACATTTGACAGATTTGAACATAGGTGAACAAAATACATTCAGAACAAATCAACAAATCAAAACAAAACAAAAATCAACCACAACACAATTTTGCGCTTCATAAAATTTAGTTTAATTTAATTTTAAATTGTGTTTTCTTATAGAATTCTTTTGTATTTTTTGCCACTGTCCTATCATACCTATCTCCTTACCTGTCCTTATTGTGTTATAAGTAGTGTTGCACCGATACCGATACCAGTATCGGATGGGGCCCCAATACTGCCCTAAAATGGTGGTATCGGTATCGGCGAGTACCAACAGATAGGGCACCGATACCATTTTGAGAGCCATAAGTTTATTCAACTATTGTCACCCATTCCTGGTAAGAAATAAAAAGTTCTACTGGATTCACTTTGTATTAGATTTTTTCCTGCTTCACAAAGGTAGGCAGCAGCTTGACAAAGCCATGATGGCAATTATTTTACATTATTATGGTATCGGTATCGGCCGATACTGCACAGCCAGGTATCGGGTATCGGTATAGGGGCCAAAAAATGACATCGGCGCAACACTAGTTATAAGCTTTATTTGGGGAATGTGTTTAAACCTTTTCTGATAGGGAGGCCCTTTGTCAAGGATAATGAGTTCACTGCCCTCAACCTCTAGATCAGTTAGTAACCTGATCAAATTACTCTCAAAATAAGACACTACATATAAAATTGTCGATGTCCCCTAAAATCTACAATGCTTTGCAAATTATTCATAAGGCTTCAAGCTTTGTTTTCATTTTGCTCTACAACTACAAAACCTTCAGTATATTTTTCTGTGGATCAACAAATTTTGAAGTGTTTCATGCATTAGTTATGATACCCCAGTGTGTCAAAATTTATATTGCAGTTACAGCTGCAGGTCCTTCAGGGCAGGCCTCTAACACAAGCACAGACAGAAGTTTTAGCCGCTGTATTTGATCAGAGTTACAAAGCTCAGAAATCCGTCAGGAGAGAAAGTAGAGACATTGAAAATATACTTTTAAGTTATACCTAAAGTTGTCAATTGGACTGAGCCATTCCAGCAGAAGACCTTCAGAGCATGATGCAGTGGAATGCTCAAGTAACAGTTGTCAGGTGACTTAATACATCTTGGAATGTTTGATTTTCTAATGTATTACTATACCTTTGAAGAATGGATTGCTCACCTCTAAATACTACTGGGTTATTGTTTTCAGCTTAATCAACAAAGCATTTTGTCTGAATTGCCTCGTCTCTCCTTTGGTCCTTATGAAATTGTCTCGTCATTGATGTTCCCTAACAAGCCTGTTTGGTCCTTACAGAACAGCAGCATTTATTCTGAGATTAAATTACAATCTAGGTCACTTCTGACTTGGATAGACATTTTCAGGGGTACAAGAGTAAGAAAAAAAAATCTATCAATTGAAACTTTAATAAAATAGAATGTAATTAGTGGATACATTCCATTAAAGTGTTACAGGTTCACATGTTTTCAAAACATATACTGCATTTCTCACAATTTTTTTTTAGTAATCAAAAGACATAAAGATTAAAACCATTTAGAGATTTATGACAGCAAATAAATGTTAAGAAAAATGCAAACATTTTACACAAAAATGTCCTTGTATTGCAAAATCCATTGTAATTTATTACAAATGGCACAAGTAAATTAGTTAGTTCTGCTGTGTAAACCTGAAAGTAGACAGAAGAGCTTACCTCCACAGTGAACTCTCCGTTACTCTGCCAGCGTTGAAGTCATAGAACTTTGTTAACATGAGAATCACCTGCAAAGCAGATTAAATAGATTACCCTAAAGGAGTATGTGACGATTGCTGAAGATAATCAGTGTTGCAAAAGCCTTTTTTACTGACACAGAATACATAACTTTAAAACTCCAAAATTTAGTCCTTCAGACATTTGTTATATGCCCATCAGGTATATCATGCTAGAGATATCATGCTTTTCTCAAAAGCACCTTATTAAAATAAAGGCGAAACTTACAGAGTGCTTCAAGTTTGCTTTATTAGGAAAATAACAAAATGTTATTTAAAAAAAAAAAAAAACATGTTCTGTAGGACTTCTTCCTTGTCATCCAGTCATAATCTATATTAGAGTCAATAGGTTATTTTATCAACCTAATTTTTATGCTTATAAGATCCTCTGGACACTGGATTCAAGTGGACTGAAATCCACGGTTTGAACTTAATAATCATCTTCCAAACGACCCTCTTTAGAAACATCCCTTCCAAACAACTGATTCAGAAACTAGAGATCACATTAACCTCATACCTTGTAAGTCCTCCTGCAATATTCTCTTAACACGATGCAACTCTGCTTAAAAATAGAAAAGAATACCTTAAAAAGACTGGATTAAATAAGTATAGATGAAAACTGATAGGAGTAGATGGATTTTAAGATTTTGCTATAATCATTTGTAGAGAATGACTCACTGCAGTTCTAATGGCTTTAAACTAAGTTTGTGGTTTGTTTGTTTTTGCACAAGAAGAAAACAATGACTGGAACCTAAAGCAAATTGTAAATTGTGGCGTCTGAAAGTCTGTGGAGTTATTTGTATTATTCAAATGTGTAATTTCTTCGATGCCTCTGATAAGCTGATCATCATATGCCGAATAAACTCAGTGCTGCTGTGCATGTGTTAAAGTGACAGTAAGTGGATCCGATTTTATAGTGACTGTTACAATGAGAAGCACCAGTAAAATAACTCACTTAAGATGTTAACACATTTGGTTTTTGTTCACCTATAGAAAAGCGTGAGTGTTTATAATTGGGTGCAGAAAGAAACAATCCATCTACATCTTTATTTTCACTGTAATAAAACGATCCTGCTTGGTTTCATTCAAAATAGCAATGACCTGATCCCTAAACTTTCCACTATCAGGCAATGTCAGAGTTCACAGGCCGTGAACTAAGTCAGCATAAAATATTTGAAATGTTAGATATTTGCTTGTATACTGACTTGAGTGAAAAACAGAAGTTTCTTCAAAAACAGGAAAAAATGAAACTCAAACCAAAGCTGTACATAAAAATCCCAAGTTGGAACTTAAATTGTATTATGCTACATTTATATCAACTCACTCCAGCTGTTTTTGTTGGTTTTTTTTATATTGTAAATAATAAATTAAGAATATTTCCACAAATAAAACCCAGAGACCAAATTGAAGCAATGTATATAATAAAAATCCGGGTCAACTGATAAAAGCATTGGTTTAAAACTGATATTACTGAATTCACTATCTTGATTTTAAATCTCAAAGAGTCTACATTTGAGGTCAGAATTCCCTGTGCACATTCTGAGCAGGCTCACAAAAGTTAGCCAGGAGAAACGGGAAGTCTCTAAGGGCTTGCTGGGTTTATGGGCCATGAGGGCGGGTGTTAATTTAAGCTAATGACTGGGTTGAAAGAAAGAAGGCATGCCAGACCGTTTGCACCAAAGCCTAGGACAGCTTCCACTATAATGGCACATGGCTGTAAAATGTGTTATCCGACTGAGTACTACTAATTTGCTTTTTGACAGGTTTATGTTTAAGAATATCAAAGCAATAATATGAAAGTAATCTGAGTATAACCTAACATGAATAAATAAGAATTATTTCATTCATTGGGAGAAACCAAACTACACAAATAATCTACATCTTTGATGGTAAGACAGAAACCGTAGAGATAAAGCTTGAACTGTGAAAACAAATTATATATATATATAAATATATATATATATATATATATATATATATATACATATACTGTATATAAAATGCTCCTAGACATCTTGCTCAGGCTTTCAGCTCTACTAATGAATAATCAAATTTTATGACTCTTACAGGTGACATTATTATAAAAAGATAGCCGTTCATATTTCAATGCTGTACTCTTTTTACACCATATATAATCTAAACCTGGAGGGAGAAACAGGAGACTAAATGAGAAATATGCTATTTTACACTCATTTTTAACTCCCCTGCTTCTGCTATCAGTATCAGGCACTCTCAGGGTACATTACAGTTGGTTAATATGGTAATTTGTTATGTTTATATGTTTATTATGTTAAATGTTTATTATCATTACATGTTTCTTGAATTTGATCATTACGATATAATTTTGACATCAATATAAACCAAATGACAGCCTCAGACTGACAATAATACCGAAAACAGATGCCTGTATAATTGTATCGTTTATTTGACCATGTTTATGAAACTCTTCCAAATATTTATTTAAAAAAACCAATACATTAAAACTCCATAAAACCTGGAATGTCAGTCAGTGAAAAATGCTGTAATCATAAACTGTTGAAATATTGGACAAATAATTTTTATTTAATAAAAATGTGTTATATGTTAATATTGAATTATTGTCCAACCCATATGAATATAAAAGCCCTAATCAGATTCTGGCGGAATTTTATGAATTTTTATGTTTATTTTTTTTATAACTAATTTGTCTAAAACTGCTGCTTTTCAGTTGGAGATAAAGTTGCAAAGATTTCACACATAATAATCTTGATTTTACATGTCAAATAGTATTTTTTTTTTCTTGGTAAGAAGGGGGCAACCTCACTGTTGTACTCCCAAAAAGCCACCTAAAATGATTTAGTAGCTTAGGCATAAGTGGAAGAATAAGTGGATAAGTGGAAGAATAAGTGGATAAGTGGAAGAATAAGTGGATAAGTGGAAGAATAAGTGGATAAGTGGAAGAAGATGGATGGATGGATGGATGGATGGATGGATGGATGGAT